CTTCTTAAGCATGTTTCAAATTTGATAATTTGTATAAACTCAATTTTTCTTAAACCTTTTTCATTCCTTTTCTGTTTTTTTATTTTTCTTGGTTTTTTTGTTTTTTTTTGTTAAAAAACTTGTTGAAATAACTCGTGCTGAGAATTCTATATTCTATCAGATTATAATATTGAATAAAGCCAATAATAATTACATTTATTAGTGGAACAGATGGAGGTATGATAAATTATTAGATTAAACTGATACTAGCTCATGTTGCAAGAGTGAAGTGTGATTGGGGGCTCCAGAGAAGAGAAGGCAGTAATAAAGAACAATGAGTTGTGATATTTATCAAGGTGGAGTAGGTTCCAATGAAGGAGGGAAGGCAAGGTTGGAATGAGGAAGAACAGAGAGTGCATATGGAGAGTAGAGTGTTGAGTAGAATAACAACCATATCCTATACAGTCTGTGTTTTTTCATTATCATATGCCTGCCACACAGTTTTCATGTAAAAGTCCAAGTTATCATGTTAAAGGTTGTCTTAGTAGAATAGTTAATCCAGCACAAAGATTAGAAACAAGAGTCTGAATGGTGAGTGTAGGAGAACAACCCCAATATCACAGATTGATTGACTTGTTCTCATCCATAAAAAGCCTGATACAAACAAAATGCTCTGCCCCACAAACACGGTTGGGTTGAAATTATCGCCCTCACCATCAGTGCTTGCTGGTCAGTAACTCCACCCTCTCTCCTTTAGAGTGGAGACAGTAGTTAAACCGGCAGTAGTTCAACGTCTAGTTGATAATTATCTTATCTTGGCCTACGAATATGGGTTTCTGAGGTCTGGATCACGCGATATACATCTGCTAGGCGATCTTTGTGTTATGACTGTAAAATAAGACAACGGGTTGCTTGTGTCAGTGCTAATCTTGGACTCTAAGAAATCCTGTAGTAAGGTTTTATACTGAAGCTTCTTTGCCTTCACGATTAGTAACCTGCTATATTAATGGATTGTTTCATTCCTAGCTGAGTATAATGAATGATCTCCAAGACCAATAACTGGTGAAATCATCCACTGTTGTTTCTCATACATATATATGTTATATGTAGATCTACAAAATTCAGTAGATCATATTTGCATGCTGATGATCGCAAGATGGTATAAAGCTCTGCTCCTGAAACCTGAAGTGCGACAATATCACAGATTTAAGTGACATCGATAACCTGCCTATCTGAAGCGAAAAGTGGTAATCGCCATTAAACCACGGAAGGTGTAAGTTTTCGGGAACATCACCGTGAACTACCACTGTGCGCAAACAAATATGTGATCCAGACACTCAACTCAGAACACGTTCTAGGCGTGAATTATAGAGGATCCCAGAAATTCGAAGAAATTGCCACTACTATTTCTAAATCTAGAGCACTATCGGGTTTCGTAATAAAGAATTCATCCATGATGGAGTATAAGCTTGCCCTTTGCAGGATACGTTAACACGCCTGTTTGAATATTGTCTATTTATATTAATAAACAAGACTGGCATAGACAGGATACAAGTGGATGTCTGAAGACGTTACACACGTTGAATGCTCAAATGTGACTCTACTATCGACTACACTGTAATCTGTAAATATTTCTCACCGGAGCATTTATCTAGCCATAGAAGCGTGATATACTAATTGGTTATCTAACCAACGACACGAAAGGTTCAGCGGCTAGATCGTAATTTATGGACGAGCCAATCATAAATCTAAGAAAGTCCCGAATTCATGAAATCCATTTTATTACAGATCGGTTTACAGCGGATATTAAAGAGGACGTTTTAACTGAGAGACTACAACAAATGTGATTACTAAGAAGTTTCTTTATTTTTAATTGCGTTTCAAATGTCGCGCAACTGTCTACTTCTCGCCTAAATACTTTTGCATCCACTTTTGAAACACGTTTGGTATGACCCCAATCATCTGTGTTCACCTTCGATCCCACAACACGCTACACGAAAAACTGTAATCCACGCAGGAAACGTTATGTGTTCAAAAAAATTAATTGACAACAAAAGTGTATTGTTGTACAACACTATGGGTAGTTGGCAGATGCTAGAGCATAGATCGTTATATTTTAATTGTATTTGCCAAGTGTCATTAAAATTTAAAAAGAGCTACAAAAGAAAGAACAGGTGATGTTTTATTAATAAGGCACATTTGCTCAATTGCAAATGCACTGAAAATCAAACAGGCTTTCTCAAAACTTATTCAAAGAGTGTAAGATCCATTTTGAAGGTTTTGTGCGCAAAATTCCCTCCATGCATACATTTGTAAATTGTTCCTATCGGTTTCTTTTGTTGAAGATTTTGTTAGCCCTTTTGATGGCATTTCATATGTTGATATTTTATTTTATTATAGTTTTCTCATTTTTCTTTCGCCTTCATTGAGTTTCTATGTTTCTTCCTGAACTATATTTATATTGTTTTAGTCGATATTTAGTCTTGGTGGCAGCCATATTGATTTGTTCCCCCCTTGATTGTGTTGGTTGAGTTGACTACGTTTGTGCATTTTGACTGTGAATTGCAGCACTTTTCCATAATTGGTAAACACTTTGTGTTATAAAACAACAAACTATTCTGTTTTGAACGGATTTTTACTTGATCTATACAGAAAAGATAGAAGACCACTAATTTTTTGATGCATCGATAATTTTCTTACATTCCTTCTCAATTTGTCTATTTATTGTAATTTCGGTCTATTATTGGGAAAACAATTATTGTTTGAATAACTGAGCGCTGATATTTCTTCAGGTAATAATGTACATCTTTTCAATAGATCTACAACCGTTGTTTTCCCAATCCCCTTGTTTTGATATCGGCTGTGCGATAGTGTGTGTCTGATCTACCTGTGCAGTTATTCTTTAGCCAAACCTTAGTTTGTATTTTACAAAGAGTTGCCCATGCAAATAAGAAAGTAAGCACATTTTTAAAAATATGTTTATCGAAAATGGAGTTGAACATGATAAACATTCCACTGATTATTTCTTTTCGTAACGCCTGTTCGACTATTGAGAAGCAAAATAATCTTCATGTGAATTCTGAAATGTAAAGAATAAAAACTTTATTATATCTGAGTAACATGCTTTTGTGCAAGTAGCGGCTTAAACCTGAGCTTACAATTATGTTCGTTAACACTGAAGACTGTACCTGAAGAGCAGTAGAAAATAATAACCATTTTAAAATAATATATATGTGTTCTTTTTTCCTTCGATTACGCTTTTGAATTTTGTCTCTTATTTCGTGAAAATAACGTTGCGTCGCGATGTCGTACAGTTTCGCAAGGTATTTTCGTTGATAGATGATGACAAGAATCAATTAGTTAATGCATCTGAAGTTTAAAAATATATAAGTTACTTCGTATGTAGCCGTAAAACGTGCACTTCTGAAGTGATCGTTTTGATGAAGTGCCAAGTGGCGTGAAATGACCGGCGACTTCAGGTGTCATAGTGAATGACAAAATATAGAGCACTGACTTTTTAGGATTATCATCCATTGACTGCGTCAACATGGCCATCTGTAATGCGAATAAATAATCCAATTATTGTTGTTGACGTACAAATCTGTCCCTTATGTCTTCCTGCTGAAGACAAGCGTCAAAAGTTCCTAGTTCCTCCTAATATGAAAAAGGGAACTATTGACTTGATAGTCCTCAGTCAAATTCCTGCGCATCTTTACGCTCACCGTACTTCGAAATTAACTGCTTCATATTTGCACTCAGTTCAGAAATGACCGACTATATATCTTGCAGCACTGTATGCAGTCTATCAAATCTAAAAAAACTTCACTTGATCGTACACGTAACTTAATCGGCCTCTAACGCACTTCCTCCACGCCCGGATTCGAACGTTGATGATGACGTATCTAGTTGTGTCAAACTATCTTATTCACATCTACGAAGTAAGGAAACCTACATGACAATCGGAGAGGCAACACTGTTAAACAACCGAAATGCTATTTCCAGCCTGCATCTCAGCCACATCCATGTCAACGGCATTGTAAAAAGACACTTCTTCACTCTTTAGTGCGCCTGTACGAAATTTTGTTAGGATTATTGTACTCACCTCTTCTGCTTATCAGTGTTTATTGGCAAGGTATTTTCGTTCGTCGAATTGTTTATACGGTAAACACCAAAGCTTTTAAAGAAGACCAACACATTATTTGCAGATTGTAGACTATTTATGGGGAATGATCGTTTGTATGTTTTTAATTTACCACACTTGTGAATGACATCACATTTCAGGACTGACCAATTGTCATCTGGCTGGTCACAGTTATCTAGGTGCATATCAAGCAGTTCCGTTGGATAGAGACAAATTTCTTTACCAATAATTCAGTGTCTCACTGCAATTACAAGCTTCTTTTTGCTTGCTGCGTCTATAATGACGTTGAAGATATCACAGATATTGTAGTTTTGCAACACTTTACCAGTAACACGTTCTACAATTGAATCGCGCCCATCCAGTGAAATCAAAAGTCAGAAGCGAAGAGGTCGGAAGAAATAGTTGATAGATTATCAATATATCGAGGAGTGACTGATATAGACTGGCTAGTGATCTCAGGAGGCGTTGAGCACCCCGTTTCAAATCGTGATCTGGTGCAGATGCATAACCGATTGCCTTCAGCAAGGTGGTCCATTAAAACTAATGTGGTCAGCTTCCAATTTCGAACACTTACAGAGCTATTGATTTTGGGGATTTATTTACCGCCACAACGTATATTTTTTAGTGGGTTAGATATTATATAAAAAGGAAATGAAACAAAATACATTCACTTAAAGCCATGGAACAATGGAACACAATTTATTGCAATACATTTACATTCAATATCCCTAATCGAAATTCTTATAAGGGTCCCTTATAAGAGTCATTAAAACGGACATTGCTCATTTTCTCATTAGCTCCGTTTTTATGGATGTTATATCACTTAGGTTTGTGATGAAGGATTTTGAAATGTCCTTCGTAAGCAGTTTCAAGGCGTCGTCAACTACATATCAATAAGCGAAATGATAGACCTTTCCACGTCCCTTTAATTTCAATGGTTTACAGTGAAAGCGAAAAATCAATTCGTTTTCACTGGGTGATATAGATGAACTATCCCTGACAAGGTTTAAGTGGTCTTTGTTTAACTATACCAATTAGATAGAGGGTGACAAGATTATGAAAGTGACTATTTGTTAGGCGCCTGTAATGATTCTGTTATGGGTGTCAGCATTTTTAATACACTTGGCTCTGATCTTGTACATAGCATTACCGTTGATTGTAGAAACGTTTCCTGCCTTTTGTCGGCGACTCGTTTTTAAAACACGTAGTGAGTTATTTCTGTAGCTACTACTTGTTGTTATGAATAAACGACGGCACCAACTTCATTAAGTCATCAAGTAAATGACTAATGGGGAATTCTGACTAGTAAATTCTTATGTATCATGACATATAGTCTTATTTGAGTCATGAGTAAAATATTCGACTGATGGTTAGTTGATTTGAACCTATCTTACATACAGGTCATTAATTGATTCTAAAACAAATACCGATGAAGCAATGGGAATCAAAGATTAGATCTCAAAAATAAGCGAATTTGTAGGGTTTGAGGAGTGCGTAGCATTACATATGTTGGCTTTTCCTGTCTTGGGGAGTTGTCGAAGTTGACATTTTTTGAGGATCGGATTAGCGCACGTAGGGTCAAGTAAATTTGCGAAAGCAGGTGAAGCTGATAACATGTAGCATGATACCAAATATTGTTTATCTGAGATTTCTAGTTCCTGTAGTGTCTGTGTTCCTTGATATTTTTGAAATCGATGGCCTGCTGCTACTCATAGAACATTCGCTTAGCTTGACTTCCACAGAAAACGGGACTGCATAAGACGATTTCTAATATATTATAAAGACTTACATTTGTTATAACTAGACTGCCATGTAACTAGCCTCATAAATGTTTGTCAAATACTCTGAGACTGTTATGTTTAGTCGTGATTCTATGTAAAAGCGTTTGATATTATGTTGGTATGACTGACTTATTTCCTAATACTTTTGGAAGACTTTCTACAGGTTACAGTCATCGGCAACCCATTAGTCATCAAAGCAGTAACAAGCACATATCAAGCAGTCTTGGATCATTCTCTGTATAGGTCCCAGTAATTTGAGGAGTATTATTAGTCAATGCGGTAGAAATTGTTGATTGCTCCATGGTCCCTTTTAGGCGTTGCACACTGTGCTCATTTACCTGATAAAGTAAAAAGTTATAAAGTCGTTCTATGTTTTTTTCTCAAACCTAGAGAACTGTATACAGACAGCTAGTCTCCGTTGAAAACAGGTAAACGTTGGGAAGATTCAAGGGGCCTTGGAAAAATTGATCCCAATGAGATTTAAGATTTGGCATGGTGCTGGGCTAGTCATAACATCGTATCATATTGGATTTTCTGAAGGAATTTGTTTTAGACTTTCAGTTTATTTGGGAGTGGTAAATATGTAAACGGACTCTAACGTGTGTTACGAAGATGGTTGAATTGACCAAAGAATTAAGATAGCCTGTACTATATCAGGCTTTGCAGATGTCTAGACCTACCCCATAATGTTATCCTTAGTGTCCAATTTGAGGTCGAATTAAGCTGTATCAAAGTTTGATGTACTCAATATCATGGAGTGCTTTTCAACTTTCTATCATTTAGATAGATTAGATTTTCTAACAAAATCAGTTTAAAAATGAGTGTGGTATCATTTTATCGCTTTTACTGTTCATTGTTCTGCTTGTGTTTTTTTGTGACTTAGACAATGTTCAATGAGAATTGAACATTTCTTGGCAAAGTTTAACAGCTAAATAGAATGCATATAGTAATCAGATGAACTTTTATATACTTATACATACTTAATATAACAACCAAAAAAGGAACAGGAAGCTATCAAGTCGTGAGTTTGTCTCTGAACCTTTAGACACAAGCGTGTCGTCAATACTATCTGTTTCTCTAATGAATGGATGTATTGGTTTGCGTGATATACCTACAGAAATAATCATCCTAATGTTTTGTATCTTGAGGTAGAGAAAAATACAAAAGTATAAGTGTAGTTAAATTTGTAGCTTAAAATATTTCATATTGAAGATGCTTTAGATCGATCTTTTTACACGTAACCGAGTATTAATGTATGAACAGAAACACTTGGGAGAAGTTTTACGCTCGTAATTCACGAGATCTTTAACTAACTTTGTTTCAAGGTTCAAAGCTTGAATAATATTCAACAATACATTTGTGAAATAATTTAGCGTACACAATATTTGCTGAAATTAACTTCATAATCCATAATTTGGAGATCTTTAATAAGTATTCTGAACATGTCGATAAGATTGTGTGAAAATGACTAACTGCACTGTGTAGTACTATTTTTGACTTTCAGACTGTGGTTTTCTAAACTCAGGATGTCCATAGCAAGTGTTAACTTTGTACATTCGCTTTGAATGATTTCAGAACGGGTTATATTTTGCCTTGTGATATCTTTCGTGTTTGTTTGTACCATTTTAGTAAATCTGAAGTGATTCTGAACTTGTTTTTGATGCAGGTGGACCTAGCTTTAGTTCCAGAGTCTACACACACTTTGAATCTGTGGACATCCCTAGTGGGCATGCCCACAATTTCTACATCGCTTCTCTAGATGACAAAGCTCTGTTAGGAGTATGGTAAGTTGCATTCTGATTGAATGATGCTATTTGAATTGGCACATTTCTAGTGGTGTAACTATATACTTAGTTAAAAGGATACATTTTCTAAAATTTTGAAGTTGACAGCCTCTTGGTTTTGCGCCTTACTATCTTATCACGCAAAAATTCCAACGCTTGGCAGTTACATTTCTCCTGTGTCTGTAGATAGTAAGAGGAGTAAAAGAGAAATATGTCAAGTATATTTCGATAAACTTAGAGCTATACTGGTAAACATGAAATAAAGTAAGTAAGATGCTATTAGTTACGGCATTTTTGAACAAGACTAGAAAGAAAGCACACTCGTTAACTTACAGACTTGATCTCATTAAACTTGAGAGAATAAAGAGTTATTAGGATACTACAAAACTTCGGTCTGCCATTAGTAGAGAGGAATTTCATTCACAGAAGTGTCCATTAGATGAAACATTTTATGGCGTGGTTGAAATATGAGACAGTTCTGCAGTTAGTTGACTAAGTACTTGTAAATTGGTTATTTATTAACTAAACAAATGGATATCATTTTTGTCATATCCTAAAGAGAAGAACAATTTTATCTCTGGCGTTTTGTTAATATACTTAATTCTTAAAGCTGATTTAGTGATAACCTTATAGTTCAATGATTTGGTCCTTTCCACGTTGTGGGGAACCGGGAATTGACAACCGCCCTCACACCTCTAACAAAACTCAAGATCACTTTATTCATAATCAATTTCCCTGTTCAATTCCGATTATTCCTCCTATATCCACTTTCAATTCCAAACTTCCTCTTTTGACTTCCTCCTCAAGTGTCACCATAGCCAACGATTCTAGTGCACAAAACAGTGTCCTAGGTCTACTGAAACTTCGCTCCAAACTGCACATTGAACCCTTCAACGTACATGCTCTATGTCAGATAGGCTAGCAAGTCTCCTTGTCTAAGACCCTAGTATCTCGTACCATTTATGTATGCTGTTTCTCCGAAACATACATACAGGATCCTAATGTGGTTATTCACTTGACCTCACCTCGCAAAAACGGAGAGCCGATGAGATACACCCTCCATGTATCTAGCGGCCCAATGTCTAGCTCTCGTGGACTGGCGAGTATAGGCATAGCACTTAGTACTAGAGCAGAACAAGCACTATTAGGGTGGATCCCCTTTAACAGTCTTCTATGTTCTATTCGGCTAAACGGCTCCATAAGAACTCGGAAGGATAGGGACACACGTCGTTGTCTTTTCATCGTTTCTGCCTACACTACCAATGACTGTAGCCCGGATGAAGTGGAAGATAACTTTTACAGAAAGCCTTCTGAGCTCCTTCAAAAAGCTGAACGCTCAGACATAATACTCGTAGCAGGTGACTTTAATGCTCAAGTAGGTAGCTTAAACCAAACAAAAAGACATTTGACAGGGTATTATAGTATGCCGGCTGATTGTCTCTTGCAACTATGCTCAGACAATCGTTTATTTTTAGCAAATGCAAATTTTAAGCATAATGAGTGACATCGTCTAACATGGCGACCACCTGCACCAAACCAACGATGAACTCAAATAGACCATATCGCCATCAGTCATCGTTGGAGAGGATCGACAGATTGTCGCTCTATCTGGAATACGTGTTCAGACTCTGATCATGCTCTAATACGAGCACGCATTTACTTGAGCCTCACTGGACGCAGAAAAAACCACACTAAGAAGGCCCATTAGAATTGAAGTGAGGGACGAGAAACCCAAAAGCAGATCCTAGGAACAACTGAGTTCACATTCAGGCAGTTCTAAACATGAGGCTGACTCAGATGTTGCTTGGAAAGATATACAAACAGCTGTGAAAACAGCAGCGACATCTATTAGTGATTTGAACCAAAGGGTCACAAAAAACCAGTGAATCTCTATTAAGTCCATTGCACTGATGTATTTTCGTAAGCATCCCATCAGGCCCTGAACACGATGAAGAGCGTGAAGAAATCAGATCTAGGTTAACCAAAAGTCTACGGAACGATCGTAAGCAGTGGTGGACAACGAAAGCAAAAAAGATGGAAAGGGCAGCGTCTTTAGGTAACACCAAACTAATTAAGGAAACTAGAATGAAGAAGTGTGACGATCTCAGAAAAGGACGACACTCTTATCTGCTCTCAGTCTAGACATTTAGAACGATGAGTGGAACGCTTAAGAGAACAGTTTAGCTGACCTTCAGCTACTCTACAGTTACCCACCATTCCCAAACAGCCTGAATGCAACATTGAAGTAGGTCCCCAGAATCTAATTGAAGTTTAAAAAGCTATAGGTAATCTGAAACAAAAAAGAGTAGCTGGTTCAGATGGATTAACTTCATAGGTCTTCAAGGATGGTGGTCTAGTTTTAGCGATTAAGTTGATTAATATTTTAACTAAGATCTGGGAGTTGGACGTAATTCCATGTGACTGGTCACAATCATTGATTGATCCAATATATAAGAAGGGGTTAAAATCATCTTGCGATAATCATAGAGGGATAAGTTTGACTATTATAGCATCTAAAATACTAGCTTCAATAATTATTGGGCGTCTAACTATGACTCGTGAACTGCAAACACAAGTAAATCAGGCTGGCTTCAGACCTGGTCATGGCTGCATCGACCATATGTTCACCATTCATCAGATTTTAGAACACAGGCATGCTTATCGGTGTCCGACAATTATGGTTTTTCTTAACTTAAATGTAGCATTTGACTCTGTGAACCGAAATGTTTTGTGGTAGTGTCTGTCATTGAAAGGTGTACCTCAAAAGTACATAAACCTTGTGAAGACTGTTTACTCGAACACTACCAGTCGAGTGAAAGGTTACGGCTAACTGTCATCTAATTTTGCAACCTCAAGTGGTTGCCGACAAGGCTGTCGACTATCTCCATTTCTGTTTAGTTTCATCATGGACATACTGCTGGAAATAACGTTCTTGTTGTCTGAATTTTCAGGAATTGATTTCCTACCAAGGGGTCCACTTATCGATTTAGAATGCGCAGATGACATAGTCGTGTTTGGTGAAGACGCTGATAAAATGCAGAGTGTTTTGGTAGCACTGAGCAACAATTCCAGGATAATTGAAATGCGATTCTCCCTCTCTAAATGTAAATTGTTGCTTCAGGACTGGACTGCGTCAATATGTGAATTTAGGATAGGGAGTGAAGTAGTCGAATGCATCGACAACTTCATTTATCTTGTAAGTGTGATCAGCCCTAATGGGTTGGTGTCTGACGAAATCTCTGTATGGATTCAGAAAGCTCGTTTGGCTTTCGCCAACTTACGTGACCTATGGCGAAGGCGAGATATCCGCCTATCAATTAAAGGGGGGGATACTGCTCAGCATATCCTTCTGTTTTACTTTACGGCTGTGAAACATAGTCATTAAGAGTAGAAGATACTCGTAAGTTGCTAGTATTTGATCACAGGTGTCTTAGAAATATTATTCGTATCTTCGGGCATCATTGTGTAAGTAATAGTGAGGTTAGACACAGGGTATTAGGGAATGATGGTAAATCAGTTGATGAGGTTGTAAATCTTCATCGACTGTGATGGTTGGGCAACGTGTTACGTATGCCTGAACACCGATTACCACAACTCACAATTCTGACTAGTATTGGGGATGGTTGGAAAAGAGTTAGGGGTGGGCAAACCAAAAAGCGGTATTAGTGTTTGAAGTCACTAACTTTTAGTCTGAGGCATGTTGGTAGATGCAGACTGCTTGGTTGGGGTCCACGTGACTATCGTAACCAATGTTTGGAGACTGTGTGACATGGCTCATAATTGATCACAAGTGTGTGTGTGTGTGTACATTCTTTATCTGCTCTTAAACCGTGAGATTAAAATTACTTTATACTTTTCTTTCTATGAACTAATTCTTTCTCCTTGTATCATACATATCCTTCTATTAGATTTTTTTTAACTGCTTCTATGAATTTGGTGTTGATTTTGTTTTGCATATGAGGTGTGGCAACTTGAACCGATGCATATTTGTGCCTGTTCTTACGTTGTAGTTGACTGGATGACTAGCTCACTTGGTGGACACAGGTCATCAAGTAGAATTGAATAAAGCTTTTTCCATCATGATCCATCAAATTTGTCACATGGTTTAGGAGTACGTTTTTTGTACACTGCTGAAGCGGTTGGAATCAGTGTTCTCCAACCAAACCTGTGCATCCAAAATAAGTTTGTACAACCACTCTCGCCATTTTGACCGTCAGTTTAGGAGTGAGTTTGTACCAGAACTTCGATGAAAATCGCTTTTTAAAAATATTTAAATGATTTTCGAGTTTCTTTCACTTTTGTATTTTACCTATTCTCAACATTCGTTCTTCAATTCTTACATGACTACTATAATACCGGCCTCTCATCAAAATTATTTTCAGATATTGTGCAACGTAGCAACTGTTTGGTTTTTGAGTAATTACCTTGATTATTATAATGCTCTTCCTCTCGATTGCTCAGTGTCATTTTACAATAATATTTCACTATATTATAGTAAAGAAATTCAAGTCTAAATGCTGGTTTAGTTTTGTTCACTACTGATTACTTGTTATTACTATAGAAATTCCATAAACATGCAGAAATCATTTTCCATTTTAATATGATAGATTTTACCCGATCCTACTTATTTTGTATAATGCATATGTCTGGGTTTTTTAACGTCACTAGGCATATTCTTCCATCGAATAATGAAGAAATTGGTGCTACCGATTCACGGAGTTATGAAGAAATAATGAATTCATTGCCTAATGATATACCTGTATTTATTTATTTCCATGGTAATTCGAAATCAAGAGCTATTCCTTGGAGAGTGAATATTTATAAACTATTGTCATCTCTTGGCTATCATGTTTTTTGTTTCGATTACAGAGGTAAGTTAAATTTCAGAGCTGAACAACTATCGACGGGAGTGAAATGGGTGTTCGAATTTTGAATTTTTCTGCTCTTTTAAATTTGGCTTACGTGATTAGTTATGTGCTTGTCTCCTCATGCAAACTGTTTGAATGATAATAGTATTGTCCTTGTCACGGTGGTTGGAATCTGAAAAAAAATTAACTAAGGTCAATGAAAATAGTACAGGACTAATATTGTAAATAATTGGACATAATGATTGTGAATTCTTAGATAATAAATATAGTAATGACAGTTTAAGCACTTATAAATTATTTATTTAATGACGTGTAGCATCGGTAAAAAAAATTCTATAACTTTGAAAGAACTGCGATCGTTTTTTCAATAAATGTTCTACCAAAAAAAAATACATGTGATGACATGATGGAAGTACAGAGTTGCTCTAACTAACTAAAACATAACTAATTTTATTATATAAAGTATAATTTTTATTTAAATATACGACTCAGTAAAGTATCTTAAAAACGTTATGCCAATTCGAAACCGTGTTGACGGCATTTTTAAATCGATACTGGTGATAACACGAGTTACAGGTTGTTTAAAAGGGAGTGGGTTTTTTTCTGGTGAGCATTTTCTTAGCGTGTTAGTTTTCTACTGGATGGGGTCGCTAACTCCATGCCCAACTGTCCTTCTTTATCCGGGTTTGGGACCGGCAGTAACCCAGAGGGGCTCCACACGGAGTTCTCATATCTGTTCCCATTTACCGGTGTGATGTGTTCTTTGGTTTTCCTCTTCTCCTTTGGTCTTGAGGATTCCAAGTGAGGGTTTGCCTTGTGACGCAGTTGGGTTCTTTCTTCGAAGTGGACAGTACACACATTGAGAAAAGCACCCAACTGCGTCACAAGGCAAGCCCTCACTTGGAATCCTCAAGGCCAAAGGAGAAGAGGAAGACCAAAGAACACATTACACCGAGAAATGAAAACAACATGAAACGAATGGACAAAAATTGGATAGAACTAGAAATGAAGGCCCAGGACAGAGTGGGTTGGAGAATGCTGGTTGGTGGCCTATGTTCCATCGGGAGTAACAGGCGTAAGTAAGTAAGTGTTTTATTCTGATGTCAAAACCGGCAAATTTTATTAGTTTTATCCTATCAAGTTTTCCAGCAAGGTGTTAGCGCAATCAAAATTTACTATTAGACCAAAGTTTGTAAGTTATATATCAGGAATTCCAGCATAACGATAAGTTTTGTTTACAACACAATACTTGACTGAATTGGGGTTTCAATGTAAATGCGATTGTTTTGTAAGTGATGAAAGGAAAGTTAATCTTAACCGCTATTTCAAAATCAGCCGCTTGTTATGGATTTCCATTGATTAACAAAAATCATGAAAAGTATATTATTAATTTATTCAGCAAGTGGTATTTTCAATACTAACGTACATCCATATTTATGTGCAAATAAATGTTTCATTCAGAATTAATGATGATCTGAATATTCCCTAGTAAAAATATTTCAGATTAAAGATTAAGCTACTTTTTAACAATCCCTTATAGTGCTACTGTTGATAATCGTGTTTCATCACGCTACATCTGTGCTTTGCCTGTCATATGGGCGATATGTGCCACAAAGGTTTCAAAATTAATTATTAATTTAAAATTTTGAGAACAACTAAACAATCCTGGAAGTTTTGGTTGTTTAGGCACATGGCAAAACACACTGCGAATATCCTGTACTATGATTTGCTTTCCATACGCTTCGTAAACAGAGTTTATTATAACAAAGACTGGAGCTACAGACATCAGTAAAGGGCGAATGCTCTTCATTTGATCTTCGGTCAGACGATTGAACGATGGACTTTTCTCATGAACAGTACATAGCAAATCATAGTTAAGAGTCATTGACCATTTGGTGACACTAACACAAACCATTCATCAGATGAACATGAGCGAAGGACCGACATCCGCAACCAATAGCTTCCCTAACTTATTACATATAGGTTGTTTAGAGAGACGCCATGTAAATGAAGATATTGTTAACATCTGTCTATGTTCTTTCATGCTGCATTTAATATACAGACAATGACTGTACCAGATAATAAATTGTATTTATTTATTATTTATTTAAACACATATATATTGGTACAAAAGGGCACCAGGTACATATGCGCCACACAAAATAATGAAAGTAGGAAGAGAAGGGATGAAAAGATAAGGCGGACTAAAATGTACAACCAGAAGACTCTTTCAAATAGGAAAGTAAGAACCATACTTTATGTAGAAAGTAAAAGAAGGTTGCAGCAGGATCGCCACTGGTTTCTATCCTGAGCCATATCTGATAACGTCTCTAGCCACTGTGTTGCACCATCTCTCGGACCCCAACCAAGGAGTCGTGAAGGACCAACAGAAAGATAATAAATTGATAGAAAGCTTGATTCCATAGACCGTTCATTGTCTCGAAAATCTTCCTCTGTTGGAATCCAACGCCAGCAAACATCTCTTGAGACATATTATCCGTCTAACTCTTTGATATTGTCATGTGAAATAACATTAATACAGTAACAAGATTTATGAAATGTTACTCCATTGAAGCTGACGGTATTGTATTAATCAGAAAGTAGGTTTTTCGTCGGACGATTAGAACCACGTTTTTGAGGATAAGGGTGACAAGAGTACACCGAAATACAGTTTCATATCCTGCAAATTTATTTCCCACACAGTACGCATCATTCGAATTTCAGTAATATTGTTTTATTATTATTGGGCATTATCTTGTTTTACAGTGTTATATCTACTTGGATTATATTATTTGTGATAACTAAAATAAATTTGGTGATTTCTAAGTCAAAAATCATAAGTTGTATGTCAGAATTCACCCAGTTAGTTATAATATTTGAACTGTTTGGTTAAACTGATTTATAAATATATGAATAAATTTACGCTTTAAACGGTTGTTACTTGTAACATAAAGTTAGGATTTACTGTGATAATATTCGAAATATAATAAATACTAAACATCTCACAAACAAAACGTAGGTTATGCAAGCTAAACGCACAATTCAGTAAGAAATATATGTTTTAGTTTTATTAAATGAATGTACAATATATGATCAATTTTACACATACTAACTTTAGAAATGTTAGTTTTCATATAAAGATATTATTACATAATAAGTGCTGTATTGACAGTGTGTTATGACAGTCCTAAGTTCGAATCTCGTGAGTCGGAATCGTGGATGCGCACTGCTAAGGAGTCTCACAATAGGACGAAACGGCCATCAAGTGCTTCCAGGTTTTCCTTGGTGGTCTAGCTTCAATTGACTTATGAATTCAATCATAAAAAAACACAAAAGAAATTGATGAATCAACCCAAGGTTTACAAATGGAACTATATAAAAATACTATAAAGCTACTGTTTTTAATAGAGTGTTAATTAAAATATGAAAACTAATTCATTAAAGAATAGCTACCAAAGTCTCACATTTCTCGTTTCTTAATACGTATGCTTAAGGTCACTTTTCTTTGTGTAGTGCACAATGTTATCTTGTTCTTAACCTATTGCTTTAAATCTGTGAGTAAAATTATCTCAGAAATTACCGAGTTAAACCTCTTTCTATATATATAGTATTTTTACTATATTTCCCATTCCGTTTTTGTAGTTACTGTTATAGTGCAGTTAACATGGTGTTAACCATAAATTTTTTTTGTAAAAAAGATGAAATTTTAACCGGTTGTTTTACCGTTAAATATTAACGATAAATACATTTGTTTAGGAAGTTGGCTTTTGAAACTGTAGTGTTATGTACATATCGTACAATTTTTCTTAAAGATATTTCTCATTATCTATTAAATGGTAGTTAGTGATGAATAATCACCATTTAGGTCATGAATTCAACTTGGATTTCAACGTTTTTCTGTAACTTATAAGATGGAATACTTATCTATATAAGCGTAATTTAGCTCGATTAAACACTGAGCTGCTTTAAAATTTTTGTCGAAAAAAATTAGCTGACATTCACAAATACTCGTTCCATTCATGATATTCTAAATCATTTCATTGATATTTTTCGTTGTAACAAGCAGACAGCCAGGAAAAACGACCCATTTCTTTTGAATGTTGTGTGTCCTATTATATTTGGTTGCCTTACGATTATACTAGCAACAGTTTCAACCGAAGGATCATAAATTTATCATACGTAGTTTAAATTTTATTTATTTCACTCTTCCAACAAGTTGTAATCCCAGTAATTTAATAAAAGTGAGTGGAATTTACTCTTACAACCTATTTTTCTGCACCATATATCTATCATAATATTTATGCAATGGTGACTTATTCACAATTACGGCTAATTATTCAGTGTTTTCTGTTATTTTCAAATATTGATAATTGGCATACGATATATGTGCTATGATTACAGAATATTTTAAATAATTTCAAGTATTGAATTGTGTTGATTTAAGGTTATGGCGACTCAACTGGGTCATTAACTGGAGAAAATGACTGTCTACTGGATAGTTTAACAGTTGTTCAATTTGTTTGTAAACGGTTTCCTTCAGCGCCGATTTTCTTTTGGGGTCATTCACTTGGTACTGGGTAAGAAGCATTTTTCGTGTTCACCATCAGCTGCTTGTAGTGAAAAATTTTAATCTCGTATAAATTTTTCTTGCCATGCGGTAAAAAAATGATTGTGTACATCCCCTCACAAATGGCCTGACGCAGTTGAGGATGGATAGAGTCCACTATTTCTCTTGAAATATCTTTATTCTGCCCTGCCTTTGTAACCTTTTCCAAGGATCTTTTTCTTACTGCCCTTATATTGTGGTGGCTTTTTCCGGTACTTCAAGGGTAAAAAGGATATTTGATGCTTTATATAGTTTGGTGGATATTTAGTTTTGGTTATGTCTTACGGGCCCGTCCAACATTACGTGATAAGTCAATCAACCTTAATATCGATTTCTACGACATTGTCCTTTAGCTAACCAATGACATGCCAACCATCACTAGTAGCCTTGAGTCAACTCTAAATCCTGATTGGTCTTCGATACAATAGCTTCTCTTCTTTCTCTGTCCATTGAGTTCAGGGCACAGTAATCACTGTCCACTGTATGAATATTATAGTGTTAAACATAAGTAGTTTATATACAAGCAGATCAGATCGCATTACACAGTAAAATGAAAAATAACAATTATAAAAAATGAAGCCAAAAGTGCTTGTGATATGGAAGCTTGTAAATAATAGATTGGGAATAAATCAAAAATAGTAAATCGTATAATAGTAGTCAATGGGTCAAACAAAAGCTTATGATGAAAGAGATAAATATTTATAATCTAGTTATATATATATATATATATATATATATATATATATATATATATATATATATATATATATATGATAGTTCATAAACAATTCCCGACAGTTACCATTCATTTATTATTCGCTCGGATATAATAGTTTTCATCTAAGAAAGTTGGGAAATATGCATTTGAAACCAATCATTTGATTGGGTTCCAGGATTTTAGAAAGAATAACACACAAACACATTTTAAACACTGGATACCATCCCTTATTATTTCTCCTTCATCTTGTCGATTAGACCTCGAGGTCAGACGGTTGAAGGCGATTCTCTAAGAAACGAATGTGCCTCGACTTAGCCGTCTGAACCTTATGCTTTAAAAAACCTTTGATAATTAATGAACAAGAAGAGTAAAATTAACTAATGATGGTATTTATATAACACTTTGTTCGTTTATTTAGTGCTGTAATGAAGATAATAATGATGATAATATGTATTGTGAAAATAATAATTACTGAATTCATTTTAGTTTACAGGCATGATCAGCTTGATATAGGTAGTAATATTAAATGTAGAGGATGGTTAACAACTTGATAGGCTGGGAAAATTTGACCTTTAAACTTACAGATGTAATAAAATAAAAGTAATTTTTATAATGTACAGAGCATTATGTATATTTACCTTGCTACTTTATGTTAAATTGCAATTCTTATCGATTCGATGAAGTTCCATTTCAGTTTGAATCTAAAACAATAGTGCCAACTGTATGGAAGGCAAATGAATTTAACATTACGTTTACAGTCTAATAATTGTGTAATTAGATGATAGATTTGTTTTGTGCATGTTTTCTGTTGATAGGGTTGTCGGTTGTCTTATGGATCATTTCAATAAAGAGCATGATTCTTTAGCAAATATTCGTCTTCCAAAAGGTATTATTCTTGATGCCCCATTTACATGCTTAACTGATGTGATACATCACAGAATATTTATGAAGGTAAATATACATTTCAATTGAAATTACCTTCATATTATTAACTAAGTATTGTGTATATTATTTCTGTGTAACTAAATAAATACTATGGTCTTTTCATATACTTTTACATTTATCTTTGAATATACAATAAGCACATGAAACGAAATCTGTATAATTCAGTTGGTCTAAAGAAAAAAAGACTGTAAGACATGCTTCATGATATTTATATCTTTTTCTTCTCGTCACATTGTTATCAATAGTAGTTAATAGAGGTATATTTTAATAATTATTAGAATTTGCTCACTTATAACAATTGATACTCACATGAAATACTTGTGATGAAGAATAGAAAGAACTATCAACGTGGAATTCATTACCAAATCAAACCATTCTGGTGAACATTTCGCTAAAATTCATTTTTCATATTTGTTCCTAGCTTTTTTTCAATGAGAGAATTAATAATTAGTTAAAAACACGAAGTTCAGCGAAGGGATCTCTTTTCAACAAATTTATTATCAAGCTATACAATCGTATATATGTGAAAATATTTTGTTAATTCCGTGAGGAAATGTTCTTCAGTTCTGCTTTCACCTGTAGATTGTATTTGTCATATCTACACTTTGCTGACTGACTTATATTTTCATCTTATTGGATGCTACTTTTTTAATTGTGATTAGTTAAATCGGGAATCTAATTACAAAGTTATAATATAAATAAATTGCAATAATGAAATATATAACTTCGTGGATCAGTTGAAGTTAGACATTAACACCGTTAGATGCCGGCTCAGTGGTCTATCGGTTGAGTGCTCCGGCGCGAAGCTGATAGGTCCTGGGTTCGAATCTCGCGGGTGCGGGATCGTGGATGCGCACTGCTGAGGAGTCCCATAGTAGGACGAAACGGCCATCCAGTGCTTCCAGGTTTTCGATGGTGGTCTAGCTTCAATTGACTCAGGATTTCAACTAAGAAAATATATAATTACCAAATTAAGCAAAGATAATAATTTCAAAGTTATATCGACTAATTATTAAATATTTTTTGCTTTACAATTATAATTTATTTTATTATTTATAGCCTTATCGATTAATGCCAATTTTACAAGGACGATTAGTATCTGCTATGAACAAAGTGAAATTATTATTTAATACCCAATCAAAGTAAGTCATTTAAAAATAATCCAAAATAAAATGATGAAACATTTCATTTCGACATCATTTTGTTTTTTCATTATTCAAATATTTGACAACTTGATTCAAGGTATTTTGTCTTGGTAACATATAGTTTATCATAACCAATATGATGTATTAGAGCAATATACTTCAAACTGTCTAAGCACATATCAACTATTTAAAGATATTTATATGTTAAAGAACATAAAAGTCAATTAGATAACTGAAACAAGGGGAACTAATGGATTGTTACGCTGATAACGCTGAACTTGGAATACTTTGTTGCTTAATTTAATTCAATGATGATCCAAATTTTGTGAGCAAATAATATCAAGCCTTAAAATGATTACTGTTCTATTGTTTCTGATTTAAATAAGTTGAATTTTCTGAGTGAGCTTCTTTATTCATTCAGCATAAAATAATATACATAGGTGCAACTTCAAGACTAAAACGAAACTAAAGAAGCACTAGACAACTGGAGAAACAGGATGACAAAGGTTCAAATATATCCTTCCTCCAAGATACTAACAAACTCAACGAATTCAAGATAACTCTAAACAACAGGTTCTAAGCTTCAAAGGATCTGTTGAAAGGAAAGGGAACTACTGTAGTGGGCGACTGGAAAGGGATCAAAAAAGCACTGAATTCAACATTTCAGAAGGTTCTGAGCCGCAAGAAGCATTACCATAAGGAAAGGGTCTCTGTGGAAGCCCTAATCAAGATTCAAGAGAGGAAGAACAAAAAGACGGCAATCAACAACAGCCAAGGCACAAACTGAATACACAGAAGCAAACAGGCAAGTGAGGGGGAACATTAGAGCCGACAAGTAGTAATATGTGGAAGATCTAGCAACGATAGCGGAAAAACTGTAAGAGAAGGAAGTATGAAACAACTACATGACACGACGAAGAAATTGACAGGGAAACATAGTAAACTGGAGAGACCAGTTTAGGATCAAGATGACCAGCCAATCATTGAAATCCAAGAACAGAGGAACGGATGGGTAAAACACTTCGAGGAACTCGTAAATAGACCAGCTTCATTGAATCCACCAGATATCTAAGCAGCACACACAGATCTTCCTATAGATGTCACTCTACCTACGATCGAAGAAATCAGAATGACCGGTTATCAGAAAAATGAAGAGTGGGAAAGCAGCAGGGCCTGACAATATACCAGCTAAGGAACTGAAGTCAGACATAGAAGTGTCTGCAAACATGTTCCATGTTCTATTCGGGAAGATTTGGGAGGAAGAACAAGTGCTGACAGGCTGGAAAGAAGAACACCTCATCAAGGTACCAAAGAAAGGAGGTACGAGAAAATGTGAGAACTATGGAGGCATCACACTACTCTCGGTATCAGAAAAGGTTCTCAACAGAGTGTTGATGAACCAGATGAATGATTCAGTAGACGTCCAGCTTCGAGATCAACAGGTCGGATTATGTAAAGATTGGTCGTGCACAGACAGCTTGGACGCAACTAGACGATCTGGACTTGACAGATGACCGAGCTCTTCTATTTCATGCACACGAACAAATGCATATGAAGACAACTAGTGTAGCAGAAGCCTGAGCATCAGTTGGACTCAACATATACTAGGGAAAATGCAAGATCCTCAAACGCAACACGATTAACACCAATCCATTCACACTTGATGAAGAAACTCTGGGAGAGGTGGAAACTTTCAGGCACCCAACCTGGAAGCATCATCAATGAACAAGGAGGATCTGATGTAAACGTACAGATGAGGATTGGCAAAGCAAGAGCCACATTCCTACAATTGAAGAACATATAAAACTTAAAACAACTGTCAACCAATAACAAAGTGAGAATCTTGAATGCGAACGTCAAGACAGTTCTACTATATGGGGCTGAAACTTGGATAACTACTACCACCGTCATCAAGAACATACAAATATCTATAAGCAATTGTCTACACAAGATACTCAATATCCGTTGACCGGATACCATCAGCAACAGAGAACAAACCAGGTTCCACCTAAAGAGGGAATTAGGAAAAGATGTTGGGAGTGGATCGGACATACATTAAGGAAATCACCAAATTGCATCAGGAGGCAAGTGCTTACTTGGAATCCTAAAGGGAAGCGAAAAAGATGAAGGCAAGATAACACACCTCTGAGAATTAGAAGCTGACACGAAAAAAATGAATAGCAACTGGAAAAAACTGTAAAGGATTGCACAGGACAGAGTTAGATGAAGAATGTTGGCGTTCTATGCTCCTCCGTCAGCGTTAGCAGCTTCGTGAGGAATAATAATTGCTGACACTTTATATCGTATGTTTAGAAGATCCTATATACTGTTGGTACAAACGAATGATTGTATTGTACTTGTTCTTGTATCATCTTCATACTATCTTACCTGGAAATAGCTAATTAGTGTACTAGTTAAAGTTAAATATTACCTACTTTAATTTTAGAAGTGTCTACATATATATATATATATATATATATATATATATATATATATATAATTATTGACAATAGACTTACATTACTTTGATGAGCAGTTTTTTGTCTACATACACTTATTAAGTTTACAGTATCATAGTTTGACACAATTTGGCTTAGTATTTGTTGTAATTCATTTAAGAAAAGACGTGTATCCAACTTTAAAATAACATGCATTGCAACTTGAAACCACGTCTTTCAATGCTGCTTTTAATAACATTAACGCCTTGTCATATATATTGAATGTTTCATTCATAAAATGTTACTTATTTAAATCGACAATTATAGAATAGTAAACATTTTAAGGCTTGAGATTATACGCTTACGTAACTTACATCATCATGGGAGGAAATTAAGTGACATAGTATTTCAAGCTTAGCATAATCAGTTAGTTTTTTCCATGTTCTTGCATTACTCTTAATTCTATAAACTCATTTGATAAGTAAATATCATGTTAAAACTATCTATAATATTTGACAATATGTATTTGAAATAGATTACACAAATAATTGATCTATTTTATTGATTATACCATGACTTCATTTCATTGTTTCTCTAATCTTCCGTTAGAGCACAAGGGAATTCAGTGTTTTAAGAGATTTATGTATGTATGGAAATAATAGAGTGGACCTATATTCTAACAACAACTAGTCACTTTAAATTTATTTAGTATTGTTTGTTTGAATCTTCCCATTGATGTTTGGGACTGCAACTGGTCAGTCTCTTATTGGCATATGTGCATACTGTGCGTATTGCCTCGATATAACCTTAATTCACAAGCATTGTAAGCAAAGATGGATAGTGGCTAGCAGTGGAATCCAGGACGCGCGTTTCGTCTTATTTGGGTCTCGTCAGCTGAATGTACCTGCATCCCAGAGTTGATGTTCACCCTGTGACTCGAACCCATTACCTTTCGCTTCAAACGCCATCACGTTATCCACTTAGCTACTGAATCCTGATAGCCATTTGCTTGTCTAAGGGAGTGAAGTTTAAATTCACTGGGTTTAGTTTACTTGAATCTTCCCATTGATGTTTAGGACTGCAATTGATCAGTCTGAGATGCAGGTACATCCAGCTGACGAGTGCCAAATAAGACGAAACGCGCGTCACTTTATTTATTATTCTTACTACTGATAAATAAATAAACAAATAAATATGTATATGCTGTATAGAATCTTGAATTGTCTTTCAAACATACAATTGATCCAGACTAATATTTTTAAACAAGTGATCTTGACTTGTGGTTTTAAAACTAACTTTCGTTTACAATTATTACTGGTTACTTCTTGTCACTATGTATATCAATACTTGTAAAATGAACTGTATGATATATAATTTAGTAAAATAATCTTTCCTTTTTATTATTACTATTCGTTTGTTTATTATTGGCTTCTAAGTAGAATGAGAAATTGATCGATTAGAATTCTCATTATAAATTAAATTTGCTTTCATATCATGTCGCTAAGATTAAAAAAAGAAAAAGAAATTAAATTTGTTCAAATCGGTAATTTTTGAGGTCATATATATATTTTTTTCTTAGTAGTATACAATGCATATTTTAATATTGTTCATATATTTCATAGATTGTATTTTACCTTGGTAGCATTGTTCATAGCGTGATTACTTAATTCCAGGTCTAAATAAGCGTAATATCAATGAACTAAAGTTAAATAACGATAATTTACTCAAATAAAAAAACAATAGAAAAGTTTAATTTATGTTAAGTCGATTTAACAATTTATAAGTTTATCTCAATTTATGATAGTAAACAAAGACATTATAGTGACGTGATTTATGATTTGGAAAAGTACACAAACACATTCATTTGTATTGTATTGTTTTCTAACCTATACTCTTTCTTTTATTTCGTTAATCAAGAAAGGCTTGAATCACGAGAAAGTAAGATCAAATAAAAGCATGATTGAGTTTGAACCAGCAAGTAATAACACTAATCCCTTCACATTACGTCATCGTGTATTCACCTTTGTGTCATAGTTGTATGTGGTCAAATATACAGTGATAATTTGGGAAGAAGTAGTGGAAAGAATAATGCAACATGAGAAAAATAAAGAGTTACTGCATTAATCTAGATGGAATCATAATTAGAATAAATTATTTTTGCATATACTAATGAGGCTTGAGTTTCTTAAAGATCAAGGTTTCCGTCCTTGATAACTTTCGTACAAATTCTTGAGACTTGTGTCAAAGTACGACCTCATAACCTGTTTCAATAATGTATTTTGCTATCGACTAGTATTATTTTACTCGCGTATTTGTCTGAGCATTTAGTGATAACTGGTTGTGAAGTCATATAGGTACAAGTTCAATCACTTCTGATTACATCGTCCAGTTACTGCTCCCAACGTATATGTTTTAACGCACGCATATGGATTTATAAATCTGATGGGTTGTGATGTAATTATTTATAAGATCTTGAGGCTTATGTGTAATAATAGGTTTAGTTTTCCGAATGACAATCAATGCATCGGCACAATATGATTTTACGTAAATGGTTTCATATTCCTTTATATTGTTTACTGGTGTTTGGTATATGTATACTTTCGAAATTCTGCAAAAGTTGTGAAATATTTTGTTTATTTACTTTTATTTACAAAATAAGCATTTATTTTTTGCGTCAGATTCGGTTCAACTAGGTAAATATAATTTACTCACTATTACAAAATTATTAGAATACTTAGTAATTACAACACTCGACTTGCAACTAATTAAATTGCGGGTCCAAATTTCAGTTTGAACAATCGTATACTGCCGTTAAACCTTATACTATAAACGTTTAAACTCGAAATTGAGTACTCTAATCTGCACTGCGTTGTTGAGTCACATTCAATTTCAGATTTGGTAAAGTTGTAATTTGTTAGTATAGAATCGAATTTTTCACTGTACGTACTTACTATTTCGAGATATGTCTTCAGTAAATCATTAATTGAAAGAATTCACACGTGAATTCTCTTTCATTCTATAATTAAAACATTAAATCATGGTTTGTAGAAAATCACAAAACCATGGTCGTTGATTTTTGTGAGACCGCTTTATTTATTTATTTGAACCCATAAATATTGATACAAAGGGGCACCGAATACATATGCGCCGTACAAATATCACTGGATTTGTGTGCCGGCTGTGATACTGCCTGGGTGCCCAGACCGAAGCAGGTGGTTTTCTTAGGGGGCCACACCCGAAGCTTTCGACCTAAAGGTCTGATCCACAAGGTACTGAAGCTACGTCAGGAGACGCAGTCCCAAGGTAGCTGGTATTTAATAGTTGGTTTATACGCCATTTGTTCTTTCAGGATCCTGGAGCCCATGAGCACCATTGGTTTGGAGTTAGTGTTTTCCAACTCCCTTCTCCAAACACTGCAGTAAAACAATAAATTAGTTTAGATGTAATCAATCAGTGATCGGGGAGTCAAAAGTATCACTATGATTTAAGCATATTGTTGTAAAGAAAATGGTCATAGATGGAGGTGTGTATGGTTATTGGATGACCATCATACACGGCTGCATGCAAAACTATACAAAACTTCATATTAACTATTAAATAAAACTTTAAAGCTTGCATTTCTGACATATATTTATCATAACATATATGATTGAAAGTTTTATATTTTATATTTTCTAGCCTAATAAATTGTCCCATTCCAATAATCATATTACACGCTGAAGATGATGCTGTTGTACCATTCACTTTAGGAAAAAAGGTAATCATTATAACAATTACATTTGATAAATTACCTAGCGAATTCATATTTATTTGTTGATTTTTGGAAAAAAATTATGTTGAATAATTACACTGGGTTTTGATTGTGTTTACTCGAGTGTTGCTAGACACTCAGTGTATGTATTTTTTGTTGAAATCATTCATTAACGAAATTTGTTAGTTCTGATTTTGAGGTTTGATAAAATATATAAATTAAGGAACAGTTGAATATGATCGAAGGTTTTATGACTCCAAATTATTAGTTCTTTTGTCATCATGAAAGGTTTTCATCAGTTTTTCTTATCTTTGTAGAGTATGAATCTCGTTTGTTATATCTAAGCTTTTATCTGTCATTATAATTCACGAATTAAAGAAATCTCTCAAAAACAGTATGTATAAGAAATAAGTTAAATTCCACCTTAGATCTGATTGTATGGCTTTAATTATGATTCAGTAAAAAAAAATAATGTAGTTAACAGTATTGATATTATGCCATTTATAATATAAACATTTCACACTATATTGTATGAAAAAAATATGTTAGACAAAGTTGAAATTTAATATTGTAGATAGAAAAAAAAGTGAGAAAAATCGTCTGATCAATAAGTAAATAAATACAGTAATAAATAAATCATCCAATTCAATAAATACTACAATCAAGACAAGCTTTTTCTATTATTTAGTAAGGTTTACTTTATATGTGCAAAACATTTAGTAGAAAACTACAGAAGGAATTCCTCCAGCTTCATTTCTGAGCCATGTCTGATAACATCTCATACCATTGAGATTGACGATCTCTTGGGTTAAAATTGGAAAGTTGTAATAGGCCAACAGATGCTAGTCCTATATAACATTCTTTCCATGGTTTCATGTCATTAATTGACTATCTTCAGGTCTTTTTTGATCATTCCTGGTGTCAGCATATAATGCACGATCATTTTGGTATCAAGATTATTCTACTCCCCACCAGATAAACCTTTCATATACACAAATCCATTGTGAACACTAAAAATCCATTTTTATCCTTCCATATTTGCATGAACATCTGTCTTTTGTAAAGCCAGAGGTAGTGTTTTCCATGAACAGACAATTAACACTTCGTCATTTGACTACATTTCATGAGTGCAAGAGAACTCTTTACACCCTCAACTTTACCAAGGCATTTTCAGACATTTAAAATAACTATCACTGGTGAAATCAGGTAAACATTGTTTCAAGAGTCTGTGGAATAAAAGTCAAGTCACTAAACAAAAACAACGTCCCTGTTGCCATATTCAACTGAGTTTCCAAGGCTAAATGTCTTGAAAGTTTTGTTAATTATCTTTATCACAACAATTCTTTATTGATTTTGATCTGCATCTTTCTGTGTTGAACTATTATTTTTATGAATAATAACAAATAATTACAGCTTGCTGAAATTCTTTCAACTAATGGTACTTCAGTGTTCTTCAAGCCTTACGAGGGTAAACTCGGTTACCGACATAATTTTATTCACACAGCACCAGATCTTCCGGATATTATTACGTAAGTACTTTAGTGAATTGAAACTCAGGTAGGAACAACTAATTTTTTATTTAATACAAAATAACAATTCTTTCTTAAAATGTTGAAAACCATACATACACTTGCAAATCTTCCATCAATTTTCCCAAACTTCATCGTTCCTTCATTACTATTACAATTACTCTCAGTTGAAATTCTCATTCTATTCAATTCTATCTTCGCAACCTTCTGCTGCAGACATTCCACTTATGATCAGTGTCACATACTACTTATGTCTGTCAACACAAGTAGCATTCACCACTGTACTAGCGGTTTTTTAATATATTTGACCTGGAACAACTTGAATTAAGATATTGAGTAAAGCATGTTTAATATATGAAATAACACCATTTGATCAGTTCATTTAACACGTATCTTAACAGAATTAATTTCTTTTGCTGATAACTGAAGTGTTTGATTATCAAAATGAAGTTGCATATCAGTTCATTGTTAACATGAGAATAAGCAACGCAATAAACTGATAACTTATGCACACATATAATATTTTAGTCAAGGAATAATGACAGTACTGAATTTTGCAAGGAATATTTGACAGCTAAAAGAATTTATAAAACACATAAAACTGAAAACGCTGACGATCAAATCCCTGCCAACCTCCAAAAAATACATGTTAATGTCAACGTAAATATATTGCTGCAAACTGTAAACAGAAGTAAAATTTCGGATTTAAAATGATGTATTTTTCTTAGCACTGTCAAGTAAAGTTAGCTGTAGGCGTTTGTAATTATTGAATGAACTAGTGAGATATCTAGTTCATCTACCGACAACATGTTTCAGATGAATTATCATTAGTTACAGTGAAGGGTTTAAGTACTTTGAATTCGGGAAGCCACATTTTTGGGCGCTTGATTTAATAACTTTAATGTAATCTTATCACATTCGATTTCAAACGTAAAACGCAGTTATTGTCCGTTTAGTATAATACTCACACATTTTCAACTCGGAAATCGTATATATTGTTTCATAATAATCTAGCTAGTTCATTGACGGAGATGTAATTATCCGTAGTTCATGCTTCATATATCAATTGCACGATTGAAAAAGCGAAAATGTTTTTCCTAAAAGGTAAACTGTACACATTTTGTTTGAACTTCAGTCGTTAATTACATTTAGACTTTGGGAAATTTCGAATAACCTTTCAAAATAACTACGGTTTGTGTAAATCATGGTATACAGCTTTCCACTATCTAACAACTACTTTCTAACTGAATAATGTTCTAACCAGCTTATACTGAGATCTGTTAGGTTTGTTTCAAAAATTTCGAAAATCACATCACAACATTAAAAATTACAATCAGTAACTTTAAATGAACTCAAGATTACATTTCAAACGTTCCCCGAGTCCCAACTAGTAAGACTTTTTATTTAAATCATTTGCTTAGGAAGTGTACTAGCGACTATTTGCTTCTGAAAAACATCAGTTGAAGTCCCAAACTAAGAGATTCTATTCCTTGGAATATAATATTTCATAATTGCTCTGTCCCAACTCCTACTTTATTTGATCGCATTGAAAAGTGTGTAGCTAATTTCATCAATTGTTATCAAGGATACACTTTATAAACATTCTGTAATTCACACCTCATCGTCAAGCATAGGTTATGTGTGAAGTTTTGAACATAAATGACTTATTCAGTAATTCACTCATACACTAGCAATACTGTAATGTTAGAGGTGGACACAATAGTCTAGACAGTGAAAACAATCGCTACTGGATTTGTGAAGTTGAGCTAACTCAGTTAAAAATGATCGTACATTTTTGAAATGCTTTTTAATTTTCTGCATTGTTTCTACCCGAAGTAATGGTTATATTAAAAAAAAATGTTTGACACAAGACTTATTACAATATGATATTAATGATTTCAGTTATCTTTCGAATAACATTTATTTATGTATTTTAAAACAAACATTTTTCTACTAGAATATTTCTCTTCTTTATTAAATGATCCTTTAGAAAATTTTCTCTTTGATCTTATTCCCTAATATTAGATCATTTGCTCAATCTACACTATCGGGAAGTTTAAATGCATTGGAGGATTTAATAATTTAAGTTTGATGATGTAGACAAGATAGCTAAACATCTAAATATATATATATATATATATATATATATATATATATATATTCTATTTTCAATCTCTATGTTTATATACTATCAGCTGATCTGGTTTTGTGACAAACAAATCATATCGTTTTAATTCTATTAAATTATACATCATTTTACAAATTGTTTCTGTTGTGTACTATTTTTTACTAAACTTATTAATATTGGCTTATTTTATAAAATTCTTTTTTTTTTACCATGGACTCAACATTATACATTGTATCATTATTTTTTCTGTCTGTCAGATTTTCTATTTATTTTTTATGTCATTATAGTTCTTTATTTGTTATTTTTATCATCATTCAGGAAAATTGTACCGTACATTATCAATTCTTTTGTTCAGTTATTTTCTTTTCCATTAAAATTAACATTCCCAAATATATTATATGTAAATTAGATTCATGTTAATATACAACATTGTGTTTTAAATTTCAGTCAGCTACAACGTAGGACCAGGCACATTTATGCATCGGTCCAAGTTGCCATACCTCGTTAGCACAACAAGATGAACACCGAATTCATAGAAGTAGTTGATTTAGTGGTGGTAGTATATAAAAGATAGGTTGTATATAAGGATATAGTATAGGAAGGAAGAAAGTTATGAAGCAATTTTAATCTCAAGGTTTAAGGGAAGATAAAGGGTGTATACACCTACGCCATTGTGATCGATTCTCAGCCATGTCACCTGGAGTCTCCAACCATTGGTTACGATAGTCACGTGGATCCTAACCCGGTAGGGGTTTATTATAATATAGGAAATATATGAAAAGTTTCTAAAATGAATATAGTCCTAGCTAAGTAAATATTGTTTTAGTACCACAGATTAGCACATAATTGATTGATTATCTGTTTTTAGTTTTGAGCAGAACCATTTTATCTGAATACTGTAAATAAGCTATAATAAGTGACTTTAATTAACTCATTTATATCAAAAAGGTTTCGCTCAACGACTGGTGTCTGATAATTTGAAGGTGTTCAAATGACATTGGGAATAATATAAGAGAATATACTTGACCAAGTGTTATTCAGCGGTCCATGTTGGTTGATCAGAAAAACCATTCAGGCGAGAGAACTTTGCAGAAGTCAACTCAATGAACTGTTAAGAATAGTTTTTCACTAAAGTTGTGCTGTATTTTTATATTTGGATTAGTGACTCAGTACTATTACTTACATATTGTTTTTCCCTTCGAGCGCTAACTAATCATATTATTATTAGCATATTGGGATAATTTGATATTGTGTTTGCGCGATTACTTCCAGACTACCAAATCAACGGCGATTCTGGTAGCTCTTGGTTACATCAAAATATAAGTTGGCTACCCCAAACATTTTGAAACTTAAACTAGATGACCTGGGGTGTGTAGCTGTCATGAAATCCAGTTCGACTTCTAAAACGGTAAAATGTTTCATAGTGTATTTAAACGAATGCCATTGTTTTTCAACTCTACCTCAAACGTTTTCCTCGAGCTTAATTCAAAAATACAACTAAAGCTATGTATTCGTAAGCACAAAGCACAACCATTCTGTGAGTAAATCATAACTGTGGTGCAAATTACACATTTGATGATAAATGAGAGTCAAGTATAGTAGTGGACTTTTTCAAGCATTATAAAAACACGCATAAAATACCTAAACATATTTCAATAATTGAAGTAGGTCAAAACGAGGTGTACATTTTATTGAAAGTCATTTAAAGGATGTCTGTGTAGAGAATCAGTTTATGTTTATAGGCTTTAACCTAATGTGAATGTTAAAACATATAATTTATCACGCTGTCCTTATGACCTTTATCGATTCTATATTACATTTGTAACTGTATTGTCAATTCCTTCTTATCAATTGCATAATACGCAACACAGTTATCAAACTGCCTTGACTGATGTGTTGTTTTACGTATATCCATATAAATATTACAATATATTAGGGTTACTAGGTATCAATACCAAGGATGCATACACTTGATAGTTTCAAATAAACTGAACATTGGGTAGGGAGTTAGTAGTAAATATATTCTTGTTATAACCCAAATAGCAGAGAAATTGTAATTTGGCGTTTCGTGACTTAATGTAAACCACCTTTCCAGAGTAAACAAATAAACGACATTAAGTTAAATAGTACTATTTCAACTTGTGTTAATTTAATTGGGTTATTTATTTACTCTGAGGAATTGGCTTACATTAAGTCACGAAACGTCAGAAATACAAATTTTCTCATGTGGATATAATAAAAGTATATTTATTATATTAGAGTAACGTTTGAAGATTTAGTTTAAAATAATTGTTTGTTTATATTCTGTGTTCTTATTCATGCGATATAAATGTTTACATTTTCAATTGTCGTGACATTTTTGGGGTCAGATGAGATGGACCGTAGTTTCATTATATGAAATAAATAATAGTCCATTATTTGATCTGTAAATAATAAAATAGATCCAAATTCAAAGTCACGAAAAATATGTTGATTTTAGTCATTATGCTTCACTTTGAGAGAAAATCAACAAGAAATTAAAAGAAAAATACGGAATCTTCTTGGACAAACGAATATTGAATAGTTAAGTGTTAATGTATTAATAAAATTCCAGTATTGAATGGCTATGTGACACTAGTTGGTTTTGAAATATATCAGTTAGGGTATGTAAATTATATATGGCGGGCCCTATCTAGTAACTTTATACTTACATAAATCTTCACAATCAGAGCCTTTAAAAAATTGATTTCTATCTGACATTTAACTAAAATGAAAGTAACATGTTTATGTAGGTGGTATGATGGCATTACTAGCAACTGGTCACAAGTACCTAAGTTTGTGAATATATAAAACCAGAATAAATTATTTACGTTCCACACTTAAAATTTCACATTTAGCTTCATCTTTGGTAACCCGATATTTTAATCCCTACAAACAATACCTTTAGTCAAGTATGACCTTACTATACTATATGGTACACCTAATGATATACGGTTCGTTCTTTTTGTCCAGTCTTCATAGAAAGTATTTAACTAAAAACTAATTATAATATTATACAGTTTTTTTTGATAAACTTTTGTGATTACATCATTCGTCATTTCAACATTAATCAGTCTATATATATATATATATATATATATATATATATATATATATATATAATCAATCATATCATTATTTCAGTTGACCTGTCAACCTATTTATGTATACATTTCGCACTAGAACTTCCAACAAACAATGACAAATTACTTTATTCCGCCGATAATCTTTAACTTTAATTTCAAGTATTATAAATGAATTAAATTTAATTGTCTCTTTTGGAACATTCATTCAGATTTATAACTCTAGAATCAGTTGATAAATAATTGTAAAGATTTTGAGATGGTGGAGAAGATTTGTAGCTCAGGTGGGTAGAAGTCTACCCGAAGTTTGTGCTGATGATGTCGTTCAGAAGGACGATAAAAGCTCCACGACCAAACCATCCAGCTCAGAGAACAAACCAACATCAAAAAAAAAATTGTAAAGATTATTCTTCATTCATATAACTATGCTTTTAATATGATGGGAATATCTCAATGATTAAAACAATTAACAATGTTAACTATATTAGTGGAAAGTTACTCTGTTACAATGTTCAGATTACAAAAAGAGTTTAAAATTCCTTCAGAAATATTTCAAAAATATGGTTTAAGTTAAAGAGTAAAACAGATTGAATGATTCATAACTGAATCGAATGTATTTCTGGTTACAAAGTAAGCATACTAAAAAGTATAAATTGTATTTTCAGTGAACACTCAACAACATACTGGTTGTCCACTATCTAAACAACACATTATCAAAATGTTAATATTAATTTAGATTTTATAGATAACCAATTTTACGACCAGTTAGATTTCGTTTATAAACACTCACTAAGAGATTCTGATCTGTTTGTATAATTTAGACATGTGAACTAATTAATCAATAATATGTTATTATCTATCACGTATCATTGTGAATATAATTTTAGAACTATTTATTTAATGAATTACAATGATGTTGTTTGTAATGCATGTTTATTTACATTGTGTAACTTTGTTTATTTAATAATACTATACTAAATGTGTTATTTTTACTTTTTGGACATGAATGGAGTTTTAATTTGAAATTGCACACCAATAAACTACAATTTTTTTGTAGTATCAGTTATCACGCATATGATTTAAAGTAAAATAATGTAAAAATGAAAGTTGCATGAAAAAAACTTTTTTTTTTTAGAGCTGAAATAGGGATAGATAGACTTGAGTTATCATTTTTAAATAATAAAGATGAACGTGTCAAAATAATAATCCAGGAACCAAGTATAACCCCGGTGAAAAAACGACTGAATAGCATATTTTTCTTGTGAATATCAAACTATTATAATTGGTCCTAGCGAGAGTGTTAAAATTATTTTACCAGAATGATAAAGGACTTCTTGTAGTGAACAAGAAGACGATTGAGGACAATTGAATGTATTTCAACACAACATTACAGAATATCTCATTAAAATATGAGAACCATATAGTGAACAGTTAATTTGCAAAATAACAATCAATTGTCTGAATTTGACCGTTCCTTCTGCAAATATCAGTCTATCGTCTCCGATTATGATTGTTCATGCATTTTCGTACCAATTGCGTGACGCTCCCGTTCTCTTCTTATTGATCCTCCACTGAAATACATTCAATGCCCGACCATCACCAAATACTACATATGTGGATATCAGTAACCCACACCACACTATAACTGGTCCTTTTCAATACAATTTAGTTCTTACAAATGTAATCCAAACGATATAAACTTATTAGAGATTATAAGCATTCCGTTTACAAATTAACGTAAGGTAGTTTCAACATTAATTTTCTAACTTTCATCTTTGTAGATATATTATGAAAATCCGTATATATGGGAAACATCTCAGGGATTCATAGACTATTTGTGTGTCATCTATGCTGATAATGTTAAGCTTGTTTAATTAAATTTTATCTCATTAATAATATGGATGATTTAATTCA